GACTTCTATCCGATTGGCTAGCCCCTTTCCTCCGAAGCTGCCAGAGTTGGGAGGTTTGTTACCTTTTGTTGTATATATCTTTATGGGTAGGTTGGGGCCCTATCCCGCCAATCTTTACTACTCTTAGAGGCTTGCAGACTAGTGTGTGGGGTGTATAGCTTCGTTATAGCCATACTGGCCTAGGTTGTTGCTTTGCTGAAGCTTGTGAATTGTTTGATGTATTGTCTTGATATATACATGCTTTCAGTTTTGGTATAGATATCATGGTGGCCTGGACGGCCCAATCAGGACTTCTGTGCTAGTTGGCTATTTATTTATATGATCTCCTAGGAGTAGCTATTTCTTTTATAGATCAGTTGACAGGGGTCTTGCCGGCCGAGGGCTTAGTTTTAAGCCGAAATATACTTGTTTGTTTCCTTGATTGCGTGTGGCTGCCATGCGCCAGTAGCAAATGGTTCGAAAGGGTCGGCTCGGGCCTGAGTTTTGACATTAGGAGCCAGTTGCGCCCATCGAGTTTGGGGCTTGACATAAACAAATAATGCAAACTTCTGATTTAATATTTATAGGAAGAATCTTTTATGATAGGAAGAGTCTAGTGTTCAAAATAACCAAAAGGATCGTTACAATATTCGTTATACATAAAATAAATTCTCAAGAAATTATTGTTCAAAAGGGATCTTTCAAATATATGATCAACAATATGCTTAAATAAATTTTTGATAATAAAAGTTGATCAAATCTTACTTAAAATGAATGAATTTGCTATACTATCAGCTAAAAATTAGGAAACATTAGAAGAACTTATCTCGAAAAGTCAGTTACACGCTTAAATTATCATGATGACCCATTATACACCTTTACTATTTAAGAGTGAATTAATTTACCCCCTAAACTGATATTGTTCTTTGGAATTATGACCAATTAAAAAATCTAGAGATCTTCCTTAAAAACATGACCACAAATTGAACAATAGTTTTTTAATAGGGAAGAATATAGAAAAGCAAGTACTGCAACACAATTCGAATGGACTTTTAAAACAAAGAATAAATAGTGAATGTGGCCGGTCATGATTTTTCCGGTGGGATGAGAGATGAAGTGAGTGAGATTTAGTGATGAAGAAGATATAATTATTAGAGATTTTTAATAATTAATTAGGGGTTAATTAGTGTAAAATATAGTTAACAAAAGAAAAGTTAATTAATAAAGAAAACAAACCAAAACAAAAATGATATAAAAAATTATAATTTCTGACATGGCGCTGACATGGCAGTGAGTGTGATACACCACACATTATGAGAGTGGTGTTACTCGTTTCAGGGTGGTATTAAATTCACTTTTAAGTAATAAAGGTGTGTAATAGATCGTTATGATAGTTTAAGCGTGTAACTGACTTTTCGGGACAACTTCAAGGGGGAATCTATGTCTTTTCCCTTGTAAAATAATTATTCTATCATTTTACATTTTAAAAATATATATTACAATTTGACTTTAGACTACCAATAATTTTAATTATTTTCATTGTATATGTGATTTTATGTGGGTTCAAACTTATTTTTAACTTTTTTACATGTTATAAGAGTGATAGAGCATTATTTATCAAGATAATTTCTATAAAGCTACTAAAATATTCAAGATAGTAAATGAAAATGGTTCGATAAAAAATAATACAATTTCTTACATGTTTCTCAATTGACCTCTAAAAAATAAATTTTTAAGTCACTATCCTATTAAATCAATACAACTTAATGAAAAAAGAATTTATTTTTATGAATTTTATTTTTAGTATAAAACTTAACTAGAAAAAGAAATTATTAAAAAAGTTATACGCAAGGAGGGGTGGAGCGGGTTGAAAATGAAAAAAATTGTTATGCGGAACGGAGAGAATTAAAAAATTTACAGGTTAAGCTAAACCCACCCCGCACCGCCCCATTGCCATCCCTATAGGTAGGCACCGCCCGATTGCCATCCCTATAGGTAGGTGCATTTCTTGAGCATAAAACTTGAGTAGAGGAAACCTAAGAAGGGAGTCAACCATCATTCCTACTTCATTCCTTTCTTTGAACATTCTTTCTCTCTCATCTAACCTTTCTATTGATTGCTCCAAAGTTATGATCCCTTTCTTTTAAAATACGTACAATCTCTTTCACAACTCAAAACATATATAAACCCCAACTCCCACAATACATAACTAATATTAATGCATGAGCACCATCTTCATTCTCTACTAATTAATAATTATTCATATAATGAAATATTTTTACAACATCTTCGTCTTGTGGATTTTGTTAATAACGCTCGATAAATGTCAGGGTCTAGGCGTGAATTGGGGGACGCGAGCAAGTCATCCACTTCCACCGGATATTGTAGTGAAGTTGTTAAAAGAGAACGGATTCAATAAAGTGAAGTTGTTTGAAGCGGATCCAGGAGTGTTGAAGGCGTTGGGTAGATCAGGTGTTCAAGTTATGGTTGGGATACCTAATGACTTGTTAGCACCATTGTCCGCTAGTGTTCGTGCTGCTGAACAATGGGTGCAACAAAATGTTTCATCATTTATTTCTAAGAATGGGGTCGATATCAGGTTTGTTCCTTAGATTATATTAATTCAATATTTTAAAATAAAATTCTAGATATTCAAAAACGTTATGGAAAATAGTACAAATTTAAACTTTTTTTTTTGTATCATCAATATGATGAAAATATACATAGTATTAAAATGATAGTGAAAATGATTCTAAAAAAAGAAAATTATGACAGCTAAAAAAGGAAAAAGAGTATACATCTTACCATAGTCCATAGGGCATAAGAAATAAAGGTTGTTTCCGTGAATACGTGAAAAAATTATATTATATACTTAAGATAGATGACTTGCAAATAGAAGGAAGAGAATATAATATTGTAGGTACTATATATATGTTCCTATCTTCAATATTGTTATCCGTAAATTACACGAGATTATAATTTCAGCAGCACAAAATATGTAGGTGAGCTTACTTATAAACTAAGGTATTTATGAACTATGGAATAATAGCGATCTGTTTAAGGTGATGTCTCGTTAGGTGATTATGCATATCTTTCTTTTTGACATGTGGATATATAGTATGTCATCAAATTAACTCTTACCTTCGAAATAAGTAATATGGATGTATATATGTAAACTGGAAAATACTTTTATATTATTAAATATAATTTAATTTATTATAATAACTCACAATATTATTTATTATTTATTGTGTTTCAATTTGTATGACATACTTTCTTTTTAGTCTGTCCCAAAAAGATAGATATATTTTTATTTGACAAATATTTAATGGTACTATCAACATTACCAGACGTCCCATTTTACTCAGGTTGGATCCACTTATTTGCAAAAAGTCGATAAAACAGTGCTCTTCTATTTAAAAAATCATTTATTTTTAAAATGATTTTGGAATATTATAAATCTTTTCCATATTTTTGAAGGTTCGTGTTTAGTCAAACTACACCACATACATTAAAATGGAGAGACTACTTTTTTTAAAAAAAAATCAATATAATTAAGAGTTTATGTTATGCATTTTGACTACGTAAAAATATATAGTAATTATTATCAACTAAAATGTATTAACACATAACTTTATTATATAATAGTAATTTTAATTGTAACCTAAAATAAATGATACATAACCTTTGTTTACGTTAGGAATAGAAAATTTTGTCTTCACTTTTTGCATATACTTAAATCGATCAACGAATGCTACTACAAAATAGAATTTATTAGTAACCTTAATTTATCAAGGAATAGGAGGGGAAGGAAAAGAAATGAACCTTTTTAGAATGTGATTTAACATTTTTACATGTTGTGAAATTATATTTTTTGTGTTCCTTAATTAATTGAGAAATCACGTTAGGTACTGTAGGGTCAGTGAGTCCGTTCTTTTCCCGACCTTATTAAGCAATTATAAAATTATTTACTTTCTTCTTACTATTTTATACTAATACACTTTTTTTATTTTCTCTCAGATACGTTGCGGTGGGAAATGAGCCTTTTTTGAAAGACTACAAAGACACATTCCTTAACACAACATATCCTGCCCTCCAAAATGTGCAAGCAGCTCTTATCAAAGCAGGCCTTGGTCGACAAGTCAAGGTTACAATTCCAATTAATGCTGATGTGTATCAAACGGACACTGGAGTCCCCTCCGGTGGAAATTTTAGATCAGACATTCATGGTCTCATGATGAATATCATCAAATTCCTAAGTGATAACGGAGGTCCTCTCACCATTAACATCTACCCATTCCTTAGCCTATACGCAGATCCTCATTTCCCAATTGATTTCGCCTTTTTCTCAGGAACTTCATCTCCTGTTGTTGATGGTTCCATCTCGTACACTAATGTATTCGAAGCTAATTATGATACTCTCGTTTGGGCTCTAGAGAAAAATGGTTTCGGGTCGTTGCCTATAATTGTAGGAGAGATTGGTTGGCCAACTGACGGAGATTCCAATGCAAATATCGAGTATGCTAAGAAGTTCAATCAAGGTCTACTAGACCGAATTAGTCGTGGCATAGGTACCCCTAAACGTCCTACACCACCAGACATTTACCTTTTCGGGCTGGTGGACGAAGACACCAAGAGCATCCAACCAGGTAATTTTGAGAGACATTGGGGAGTTTTTTACTATGATGGAGCTATCAAGTACCAACTCAATTTAGGTAACAAACAAAGTTTGAAAGCAGCAAAAGGCGTTCGATATTTAGCTAGGAAATGGTGTGTGATGGCCCCTGATGCTAATGTTATGGACCCTAACTTACCAGACAGTATCAACTATGCTTGTAGTTATGCAGATTGCACTAGTCTGGGATATGGTTCATCATGTGGTGGATTGGATGTTAAGAGCAATGCTTCGTACGCGTTTAATATGTACTACCAAACTATGAATCAACAGAAGGGGTCGTGTGAAAGGTTTCACAATTTATCCGTCATTACAACGATTGATCCATCTCCCTCCTCTTCTAATTTTGGTCGAAGCTCTTCAAATTGTCGATTTGAGATCATGATTGATGTGGGAAGGCACGAGACGAGGGTAAATCCAGGAACGTCTTCAGCTACAAAGATCAAACATTTTTCTCTTGTTTTATTGGTACTAGTATTCATGTTGCACTACTAAAATGCATGTATCTGCATTAGGTTATGGGATACTCATTTACAAGTTACATGTACAGTTATGTGATCTCTTGTTCTCTTCTACAAGAAATAATATCTCGAGTTTACGTGATTGTTCATCAAGTTTTATATATATACATATTGGTTATATGTAATTTGGTTAAAACTATAGACAAACTTTATAGTAAGAAAGAGTACACCTTAAATCCGACATTATTATGATCCGATTGAACTTTTATTAATGAAAGCATAAGGAAGGAATTTGAAGGTGAAAGACAAATAGTTTCTCTGACATAGCTAGTGGATCCATCTAAACCAGAAGTTAAGATCTTTGCCTTGGCAAGTAAGGACATTTTTTTTTGTTGTGGGAACAAGACACCGGATTATATGTTATAGCTCATATGGTCTATGCCAGTTAATAGTAAATATCCCACAACATGAACTAAGTGGTTCTTAAAGGTTTTGTGAAGCTTTCATGATGATTTTAAGATGCATTGATCATATTCGTGATTTATGATGTCTCTTTAAAGGTTTTACTATGCTTAGCTTGGTCATGCACATCATGTTTTTAATTATGTCCTCTTATGATCATGTTTCATGTTTTATTGCATTTCCCTCATACTTAATACATTCCAAGTACTAATGCATATTTGTGTTGACGACTCCTCTCCCTCCGTTTGTGGTTAGTGATCACCTAGAGATTTCGAAGACTTGGTGAGTCCTCATGTTCCGAGGACGATGTCACCTTTATTGCTTTCTTATGTCATAATGTTTTTCGGATGTTGTATTTGATGTACGGGTTACGTCCCTACCACTCCTTATGATGTAATAGATGGCTTGTCAAGACTATGTTAGACTTTCGCTTTCAAATGTCAAACTCGTTTTCTTTCTTAATATGAAGTGCTTTACTTTTACCTATTACTATATGTATATGTATGTCAATTGGCTTGGGTAGGGCCTCTTGGGGTCTTATACGCCATCTCACGTCCAAGGTGTACTTTGGATCGTGATAAACACGGGATAGAAGGAATAGCTCACCCTGAAATCTGATGTGCTAGAGACTGGCTAGAGCTGAGGGTGAGTCAAATCTATGGTACACTCATTGCACTCCATAAAAGGAAAACAAAGAAAAACACAAGTAGGGGTCAGTACAGGGAAACATGTACTGAGAAGATATATCGTCCGACTCAAAATAGAAAACAAATATGCATAAAGTAATAACATGAACTCAACTATAGCACTTAGCAGCTAGCAAACAACAAACAGCATGAACAAGTGGCAACAACAATGAAGCAAGTACGTAATTAGTCACAATATCAAGAACACACATGAGGACTCATGCCTCCACATCACACTCTTTTGGGGAATGAGTTTTTTGAGATGAGTATATAAAGTTATTTAAATATGTTTTCCTTTAATGTTACCGTGCCAGAACATGACGCCTGATCTAATAATATCGTGCCGGCTAATGGCACCCGATCTAAATATATATTGTCGGCTCATGGCACTCGATCCAACAATATAGTTGATTCATCATTCTTTATCATCTATTTTCACTTCCTTAACAATATTTCAATATGCCTTCTTTATTCAAGATATCACTTTAATAGAACAAGTTCAAGATTATGAATTTCACGGCCTTGGGATTACAGACCAATCACAACACATGAATCATCCAAACCACAACAACTAAGTACTTAGCATTACACAATGACTATCAATCAATATTAAGAGTCTCTCTATCACATAAAACCATAACTTACCTCCACCAAAGAACTAAAATCAAGCAAGCTAATTCCCTAATGTTTTTCCTTTCCTCAATGCTTCAGAATGTTTCCAATCTATCAAGTATGCATAATTCATAAGTAAACGGGTCTATAGACACCCATATTATTATATGTCTAGCCTAGACCCAAAAACTCACCCAAATCTATAATTAATTTCCTAAAGTTCAAGCCTAAGGGTAAGTCTCAATTCCTCCAATTATCACAACTTTAATGGTATTTAAATCATACAATACACCTAATATTTAATTACCTATCTCAATATATCAAAACTTAATTTATAATATGATAACAAAATTATAATAATAAAAATTGAAGGAGACAAAAGTTGGTCTCCCTCAAAATCAATCAGTAATCACGCTATAATCATTGTACTTTTGATTCCCTTTTATTTTTCTTTCTCAATTCTAATAATATATTAATAATATACTCTAATCATATATTCATTTGCAAGAAGTAAGCTTGATTATATTTTTCTTTTACCTGAATGTGTAGTCGGTTCTTGTTGTCGATGCCTCAATCAGGTTTGTTTAGCAACACTTCATTTTTTCCTTCTTTACACGTGGGTCATGTGGTAAGGGTATTAAATAAATTATGGACTTGATCCATTAGTCATTCACTAGTAAAAATTAATTATTTAATAAATATCCGTCAACTAAATAGTCGTAGTTAAACGAATAGTTCAAAATTCTCATTTAAAATTTAAGGAAAGAGTCAAAACAATTATATTGCTCATAACGACCTAACGAATTGTTACATTAGATACCAATTTACCCACCGTTCGTCCCAAACGATCAAAAGAAAGGCGAGGGTAAGAAAGGGTACATGACTCGACGAAAAGATGTGGATATCTTTCGTGCATATTAGCCTCAATCTCCCAAGTGGACTCTTCAACGAGATGATTCTTCCACTGGACTTTTACAAATGAAATCTCCTTTGACCTTAACTTGCGGACCTTCCTATCTAGAATAGCTACAAGCTCCTCCTCATACGACATATTCTCATCAAGCAGGACCGAATCCCAATGAATAATGTAGTTTCCATCACCGTGATATTTCTTCAACATAGACAAATGACACCGTGTGCACTCCTGATAACCCTGGAGGCAAAGCTAATTCATTGTCCACCTCTCCCACACGCTTAAGAACTTCAAATGGACTAATATACCTCTGACCAAGTTTACCTCACTTACCAAACCTCATAACACCCTTCATGGGTGAAACCTTTAGCAATACTTGCTCCCCTCCATAAATTCCAAGTCCATGACCTTCCAATCTGCATACTCCTTTTGTCTGCTCTGAGCTGCTAGAAGCTTCTCTTGAATAAATTTCACCTTCTCTAATGATTTCCTTAAAAGATTAGTACCCTAAGGTCTCACCTTAAATGTATCAAACCAACCAATGGGAGACCTACATCTTCTCCCATACAATGCCTCAAATGGGGCCATATCAATTCTCGAGTTATAGCAATTGTTATATGAAAACTGTACCAAGGGTAAGAATTGATACCAATGACCACTAAAATCTATCACGCACGAAGCATGTCACTCCCCGAGCCTACACCCTAGATGTGGCCGACACTCGAGAACCATTGTTGGTCCCCAAGCGAACCCTTGGCATGGCTAAAAACCCAGCGAAAGACTTACTCAACAACATAAGGACTCAAATACAAGAATTTACTCATAGGATCTCAATAATAGACCAAACCAATAGAGGTCTGAAAGTATATAATTAACCATAAACGATTTACTTCAAGTCTTAAAACATCACAATAGAATATAGGGAAAAGACTCCTCAAAAATACTGTCTAAGAAGCCTCTAATAACTGTGATGGAAGTCAGGACAAAATCCACGACATCCTAACAACTGAAAAGTAAATATGGAACCCTTTAGAAGCAATGAGGCTCACCAAAGCTAACTCAAACTGCAAGTGGTATTAACAGAGGTCATGTTGATGACCTTGAACACTTGTATCTGCATCATGAAATGATGCAGGCCAAGTGGCGTCAGTACATTAAATGTACGAGCATATACGGGAAAAAATATAACATAATAATAAGCTTGAACTGATAAAAATGTAACACCTCAATCTCGGAAAGAGCTTAATTTAGAAAGAACTAAATTAGAAAGAGCTAAATTGAAATTAGTACAAGTTGCACTTCAATTGTGGGTTTTATATGAACTTCAAACGACCATAACATTCAGTACATGATGAGTTAGGTGGCCCAAAAGGTATAAAATAAAAGATCTTTGAATCCTCTTTCCAACGCCGCCAAGTTTGCTAAATTCCGAATTTGAATGAAGGAGATATGTCCATTTGAGTGCAGCCTGTCGTTTTAAACCCTATTTCAAGACCTATAAAAGTGAATTAAGCCCTAAACATTCATTCTCCTAAAATCATTATACTTAGAAAGAAAAGAAGAGAAAGAGGCGACATTTTTCTCTCCGGAACAAGCAGAGCTCTCCTTCAAGTTCATCTCCGAAATCCAAAGGATTTCTCTGTAGTTTTCTTCATTGGGTATGTGGAATTTCACTAGTGGGTTCCTTTCACTCATTAGATCCCTAGAATTCAGTATGTTCTTCATCTTCTCCATGAATTGTTCAGACCTAAGGTTCCTAAATCTTAGGGATTCATTGTAATTCAGCTGCTATAATTTTTTTTATATTAATTACATGTTTCTTAGAGAATTAGTATAGTCCCATGTATAAAACTCAAAAGCCCTAGCTTGTGTTAATTATCCATATTTCATGAATTATAGTTGCTAGGAAGATTAGTCAGACAATCATGCTTCAGAATTCGAAAGTCATATCTTTCAGTATATGTATGATGCATTCTCAGATAATGATCAGTATTTTGAGCTATCCAGTATTACAGTTGCATTTTTAGCTTTTTATTCAGTTGGGAGTAAACTTAGCACCAAGCGGACAAAGGGATGAAGGCTCACCCGTCAGTTTAGGCTGAGACCTTTAGTAACAACCCCTGAGTCCCAAAACTATGGCGCCACCGTATGTTCTAAAAGGGTCATCCATCAAATTAGGCTTGACATCCTTGTCCCTTGTGGACATCAGTTAGTGGATCCACATCAGACTTGTTCGTACCCTTGGCAAGGTATGAACACCCTTCCATCCAGGGTTGCAAGTTGTCTCCATAGCTAGCTCAGCTTGGGTATGTCGGTTAATAGTATCTCCCACAGTCAAATTCATGTTGCATTGATCATATATTCAGTATTTATTTATTTCAATATTCAGTTCAACATTGTATATCTTCATGATTAGTACTTGTTTATTGCATCCAACTCAACTTTTAGTTATGATTCATTA